ATTGCAAGCTGGATGTTTGTCCAACGAATTTATCGATCTATCAAGGTTGATTAAGCATGCGACGAAACTTCAGTTTCTTGACTTCCTCAGGACATATTCATATACGAAATCAACGCATATCATTTTTCCCTGCTGCCCGCATCTCTTTCCCCTCACAAAGGTATTGTGGCAACAGTGAAGACGGTGCTGATCATACGCCATTCGCATTTAGTAGATGAGAAAGTGGTGGATCTTCTCAGATACAATTCAACACATGTTTGACTTTTGATTTTATACCACCTTGTTTCCCTTGTTTGTTCGTGGCCCTAGCCATTGGTGTTGAAGGGCGCATTTGGAGTGGTTCTTTGTTCTCTGCGAAAGTGCTGGTACTTTCTGAAGTTCATAAACAATATATATGCCCTTAAGCTGACCCGTGCTCCTCTCTAAATATATAGTTGCGTCTCCGACTTTTTGTTTGTCATCAATTCGGTGTGTCCTGTATGTTAACTTATGCTATATGCCCTAGTTCGGGTATCTTTTGTTCCTTTCAATTTTGTTTTGGTTGATTCTCGTCGTATTCTTAAAATAAATAATTTCTGCATTGATCTCATGTTTTTGGCAACTATATATTCTCATTTTTCAATATTCTCCATTTGCTCTCGCCCCTTTACTCTGCTGTCAATGTATACGGAGTATGCAAGTTTTGTTTTTGTATATGTATTTAGTTCATCGATGTTTTTCTTGCTTCCTGCCTTTTTTGATTCCTTTTAATTATATAGAATTGTTTTAAAAAGAAGAATATTCCCTTGCAATCGGGGACTTAGGAAACCGTAACCGTGACATTGCATTTTACATTATAACCCCAAGTAACCCACGATACCGAAACACGAATCAAGCGACATAACTAGCTTCTTAGAAAATGATTTCTGAAACACCATGAACGCGTCTAGTTGACCGATAACAATATAGTCATGGAATCCCAGCATCCTGACTTTCAGCCGGACTAGCTGAATGGCAAAGCTTGCAAAGAATAGAGCATTGCGGTGTTATCCCCTGTTGGGTTTGACCCTGAACGCAGGCTTTCCACCGACGCCATATACTTCTGCCAGGCCTCGATTTTGATATTGTCATTCGTGGACAGAGATTTGACAATGTTGGGTAATAGCTACCTTGTTAGTTTGTACTATAATAATTTGTAAATATGAGTAGTTACGGAGCACTGACTTGACAGATCTGCATGGCACCAGTGAAATTAGACGAGATGCTACTGATCAAACAGGAGGGATCGTTTTTGTACTGCATGGTTTTACTAGTATCGGAAGTTCCAAGGCTGGCTAATTCCACACCTCCTAAGATCAAAAGTTGCAATGAGCCTTAGCTACGTAGGAGCGTCCGCATTGTTGCATCCGCTTGGATTCCCTTGTTTCAATCCTTGGGTGGGTACTTGTGCGAGGCTGTATAGCAAGAAAATATCTTCTGGAAGTAAATGCTCTAAACAAAAACGTTTCATTGACACTCAAAGCAGGTAACATGACCAAAATATAGACAAATAGCAGAATATAAATCCCCCTCTTGCGGGGCAAAACATGCAAGCTTTCTCTTTCGTAAA